CACAGGCATCTGCAAAGGAGGAGGAAGGAGCGCTGTGTCATCCTGCGCCCCAGCTCAGGGTGGGCGTTCCTGTGGGGCTGTTGCCCAGTTCCCCGGGAGAGTGGGAGGCCACTCGGCGTGCCTCCAGAGGGAGAGCCCTCGTGTTAGTGCAGGGTCCCAGGGAGCCACGGCACTTGGCTGGGCTGCCGGGGGTGGCCGAAAGTGCCCACTGAAGGGCGGCAGTGGGGACCGTATGTTGTGGAATACCGCTTTGAAATTCCCATATATGATGGCTCTGACCATTACAAGTGTGGCTGAAATAGCCGAATCGTTTTAGTTTATCCAGCTCGATTTTTTTCATTAACCAATTAATTATTAAAACCCGTGCCAAGAGATTTTACGACTCAACACTATCAGAATTTTGAAAAAGGAGTTAATGTTTTGAAAAAGAATAATGTTTTCTGGCATTAGTGTTTGCAAGCTCTGCCAAGAATGGAAGTACTTGGAATGTGATTGCATTAACAATTGTGAATATGCTGGAGCTGTACACTTTTTAATCATTGTGCAGTTCATGTGTAGTGGTTCGTCCCCCATGCCAATTTTGTTTTAAATGTTTGGTTCATGTACTTTTGGGCACTGTTATAATTCACATTCATGATAGTAAAATGCACTGTAAACAAGTGTAAGCCACACCAGTTTTCCCAGTAAGCAGGCAAAATATACACTTGATCTCATTGCTTTTAAAAGGCCTGATACAGACAAGGTGGGATTATTATTCTTCTGTTTGTCAGGTATTATAATTGTAGTTGATATTTCAGATTCAACATCAGTTAGAAGGATTACATATATATTTCCTACTGAGTGAGGACTCTTCCTTTCAAAATACCCTTGAAACAGCCAGGAAGCAGCAAAGTTGACAAAGTAAAGAATATCAACCTTACTTTGGAAAATGTGTTTTTTTTTAGAACAAAATAAGTTTTGGGGCGCCTGGGTGGCTCAGTCCGTTAAGCGTCTGCCTTCCACTTGGGTCATGATCCCAGGGTCCTGGGATCGAGTACCACATCAGTCTCCCTGCTCAGCGGGGAGTCTGCTTCTCTCTCTCCCTCTGCCCCTCCACCCTGCTCATGCTGTCACTCTCTCTCAAATAAATAAATAAAATCTTAAAAAAAAAAGAACAAAATAAGTTTTTAAAGATGTTCTTAAACACAAGTTTTACTTTTAAACTTACAAAACATTTTGGATCTAAACACATATACCGACTTTCAAGATTGTGTGCTAATATCCTGGCTAAAAAAAAAGTCTTTAAGAAGTATCATAGTTTGCTTAGTAGAGGTTGTTTTTACTATAACTGAGGGAATTTTGGGTTTTTGTTTGTTTAGGAGACCAAAGAAGCTGATACTGCCTTCCAAAGAAACATTAATGTCCCTTTTATCTTCTAGGATTCAGGCTAGGGTCACAAGCATTTCGTTGTCATGACTCCTCACTCTGCTTTAATCTGGGAGAGTTCCTCGTCTTACTTTGTCTCTTACATAGTTTTGAAGAGTTCCAACCATTTATTTGTAGAATGTCTGTTGCTTTTGGTTCGATGCTTTTGGTTCGATGTTCCCTAGTGATTAAATTCAGATTATGCATTTTTTTGGAAAATAGAACATTATCCCTTTTTAAAGTGATCTTTGAAAGCCTTGTTTCCAAAAATGTCCAGCATTAGAAATTGTGAGGTCCTATGTCCCCTGAGGAATGTGAACTAAGTCTGCATTGTTTTCTTTGCTTCTCTTTTCACGGCTTTCCTCAGGTGGACTCTTTTTAGCATTCAAAACTGCATTCATTTAAGTCACTTCAAGTGTCTTCCCCAAACAGTTCTGCCTTGTTCAAAGAGGTCAGTGTAATATGAGACTGTGAAAAAATGTAAATTTAAGGTGGCACCTTCTTTACAAAGGAAGTTCACCTTAATATTTGGACGCATAAGGCCATAGAGACTTGACTGAGGTAGCCGATGCTATCCTAGGATTGAACAGGTTCACTTTTAAGCCTGAATTTGAAGATTAAAACAAAGAATCTATTTAAGTAATGTATCGTAAGATTTAAAATTGTTGTATAGTACAGTTCGGATTGCTGCTTTGGTACTGATTCTTGATTTCTGGCCTTTTATAGTCATGATATAAAGTAATAACAGGTTAATTATATAAAACATTAAAATAACATTAAAATATCTTGAACTTTGGGAAAAAGTCAATGCTAATTCAGACACTGTGTCATGCCAAAATACCTACATTTAAAATATAAAATATCTAACTTTTATTTATGACACTGAAGAGGGAGGGCTGTGAATTCATACTGAAGGTCATTATTCTCAACTTTAAAACTCTTTATGACTCGTCCTATGGTTAAGTTCCATTTCCAGTCATGCTGACCAGAAAGGGCCTGCTCTCAGGGACTCTAGAGGAATTGTCATTTCTGTTTTCCTGATATTTCAAGAGGATTGACTGGGTCCCAGTTGCCTTTGAAAGTTGGACTTCCTTTGATGTGTGGAGTTCAGGGTTGTTCCTGGACCCCCTGAAGGACTTGCTGAAAAAATCTGGATGGGAACCAGATATTGGCTTCTCAGACTTCCTCCCCCCACCCCACCCCGGTCACTGTGGATCAATGAAAACAGGCTGGTCTTCAGCATGCATTGAGATTAACACTGTCATTTCTGCTGAGATTTTTCACTTGTGCTTAAGAGTGCAGCAGAGTCTGGAATTAGACTTTCTACCTTCAAATTCCTGCTGTACTGCTCGTTTATTAATTGCTTAACCTTGAGCAAATTGGGTCATGTTTCCATACCTCCGTTGCCCCATCTTTAAAATGGCCAAAATAGGGCACCTGGGTGGCTCAGTGAGTTAAGCGTCTGCCTTCGGCTCAGGTCATGATCCCAGGGTCGTGGGATTGAGCCCCGCATCGGGCTCCCTGCTCAGCGGGGAGTCTGCTTGTCCCTCTCCCTCTGCCCCTCCTCTCTGCTCATGCTTTCTCTCTCTGTCAAATAAATAAATAAATAATCTTTAAAAAAATAAAATGGGCAAAATACTACTATCTACCATATTTGGGTGATGGAAGCACATATGTATAACATAAAAGAATGATGCCTGGCACAAAATCAGCACTCAGCAAATGTTAGCCGTCATCCCCCTCACTCCTCTCCCCCTCCCTTTCCTCCCTCCTCCTCAGTGGCCTAGCACACAGTTTATTCTTTGTCTAAGAGGTCTAAGAGCAGAGAACATCTTGGCCCCCTCTCAGTACCCTGAGCACTTCCCTTCCATCAAGCAGAGGCTGAGCTGTGGCAGCCCACCCTGCCCTCCTGGTGAGTTTGCCCAAATCATTCCCAGCATGTGGCAGGGGTTCCTTGCGCCAGAAATAGCTCCCTGTACAGATTTTCTCCATCCAGCCTCATGAGATGAGCAGAAAACACATAGTCTCCAAGCCCACGGGTCATTTTGTTCGGTTTGGCTTTTTTATTTCACTGCCAGCCCATGTCTTTGTATCTAATTCTTATGGAAAGAGCCTCCTGATGTTTCCCTCTCTCATTTCACCAGTCTCTGTTCATGCCAGGCTGGCCAGGCTTATCTTGTTGAATATAATTATAATTTCTTTCTTTCCTTTTTTCGAAAATTATTAATTGTACCCTCCTATCTATAGAAACTTGTCAGCGTGGCACTCAAGGCTCACTCACTCTTCTCCCCATCCCCATTTCCAGCCTCATCCCTGAGTCTCCCCATGTCTGTGCCTTTTCCTGAACACATCGTACATAGAGCTTCATGCAGTGGTATTTTTATTGACAGTATTCCTCCCATAGGTCTCTTTTCCTTCCCCTGCATTTCCTATCCCTTCTAACACAGACACACAGACACACACACACACACACACACACACACACACACACACCAGATCCATTGCTACTTACCCCAGAGCTCCAGAGCCCCTTCTTTGATGTCCAGCAGCTCCGGTTATTCCCTTTCTGGGGCTTATGTTGATTTTCTAAGCCTTCACTACTGGAGCACCAATCTCAGTTTGAGATCATTATGTTAGTTTCTCTACCAGATATAGGGTTCCCTGAGCAAGGAATTGCATTTCATTCATTTTTCAGTATCCCTGGATGCTTAGCATACTGTTGCATTTGCAGATGCTCATTGAATATTTAATGAATCTGATGGCATGTAGCTTGATTTTGGCAAACATATATTTAACAATCTGTCTTTTGGGGGCATGTGGGTGGCTCAGTTAAGCATCTGACTCTTGATTTCCCTCAGGTCATGATCTCAGGGTCATGAGATGAAGCCTCATGTGGGGCTCCGCGCTGGGCGTGGAGCCTGCTTAAGATTCTCTCTCCCCCTCTCCCTCTGCCCACCCCACCCCCACGTTCGCACATGTGCTCTCTCTCGTAAAAAAAAAAAAAAGTCTGGATTTTCACAAAAGATAAACTATCTTTATTCACACTGTGGGAAGATTCATAAGAGTCCTCGATCTATAAATCTCTCCTCTGCATCTAAAAAAAGACTTGATTTACATAAAATTTTAGGACTCTACTTATTCTATAAAAAAGACCATGAAGTGCTGTAGAAGGCTCTTACACTTGAGCATTCAACTATATGCTGTACACGGGGCTTAGTTCTTTAGGCTAACTAACACATTGAACTGTCCTGATAGCCCTGAGGCTAGGGCCTGTTGTTAACATCCATACCTAAGAACACTGAAGCTCAAAGAGGTCAAGTAACTTGCTTATCACTTTCCTAGATCTGGGATGTGAGTGTGGGCATTTGATTCCAGAGACTCCACTCTTAAACCCTGTAACGTCCCAGAAACCATCTGACCCAGTGGCTTGTGTATAAGAAAACCTGAGCTGTAGTTTTGTCTGTAATTTGCCGGAAGAGACTTCACCAGGCCTCCCCACCAGGGTATCCTGGGAATAAGATGGAGTTCTGAGAAATCGCTCACATGAAGAGTACAAGTAAAAATTTAAGGTCTCAAAGAAATGCTTCTTAGTCAAAATGCTTCAGGAGGCATTGTGGTCAGGGATAGAAACCAGCTTGCCACGGGAACCTAATGGTAAATTGGTTGAATTGGTTGTGGTCTGCTACGTGATTTGAGATATAGAAAAACCAGGAAGTTCAAGAATTGTTCTCTTCCATTTCCTCTACTTCCACCCCCACTCCCAGTATTTTTTTAACCATTGTCAGTGATCTAGAAGTACAGCAATGTGAAGCCAGCCGTTAATATTTATATTACACTAGGAACAAGAGAAATGGGAAAACTAGGAAATGATACTAAGCGTTTTGATTGCAACAAGATTTCTGTGATAATTTTTAGAAAGATACATATCTGGCATACTGCATTAACATCTAATCATTATGCCTTGTCTGTTGATTTTTTAAAAAATCCTAAATAGGGAAAAAAACACGAGATTGGTAGCGTCTATCTTATAAGTGGTTTGTATCTCCCAGACATATTATGAAGAATGCAAAATTCTCACAACTTTTAAAAATAATAATAAAAACGGCCTTTAAAGAAATTCCTAGCTCGTGCAAAGTTGTTTTGGGCCTCAGAAATACGTTCATTCTCCTCCAATTGGGTCTACTTGGGTGGACACTCTCGAGAAGGACTGCTTTTTGTTTGTCTGTTTTTGTTTTATTTTGTTTTGTCTTTTATGCCATGATAGAAGTCAGAAAGCATTTTAAACTCATATCGGCCAGACTCTTCCACACAAGATACCTCATTGACATAACCATAAGCCTCAAGGAGAAAAAGCTATGGGCCTCCTCCTCCTCCTTTCTCCCAGAAATCTTCCCTGGAGACACTGTGATTTAGTTTCAGTAACTGCCATCTTTTGTTGGGAGAGAAGTAATGGCCTAGGTGGGTTGAGCTCTAGTGTTAAGACATTTCTTGACCTGAGTCCCGGAGCCCCAAGGAAAGCCACACCTTTGTCTTGGAATCTGCCCGGTTCATTTATCATCTGTCACTGATTTTTGTCTGGGAACGAGAGGCCAAAACTCTCCAGGGATACCACTTACATTCTTACGTGACTATGGTTTTAATAGCATCGTCCAGGAATATCCTTTTTTTATGCTAATCCCCCTCCTTTTCAAAGAGAATGGCCCTGGAAATTCTGTATGACCCTATGGCAATTGGCAAGCAAGGACAAACCGTGCCATTTGACTGCATTGAAAAAACAAATGGGAAACGGAGGCAAGTGTAAAGGCGTTTGCAGCTTCAGCATTTCTAGACATTGCTTTATCAGCACGCTCTGAGCACAAATCTGGGCCACGCCAGCGACCACTTTCCGGGCAGCCGGTTGGGTGCCATGTGGCTGGGACACTTAGGGTCAGTTAGGCTCATCAGCAGGTTCTTATCCCTCATGAGAAATTACATGTGTGCTGCAGAGGGTGTTCATAGGCTAATGAAAGTTGTTAGGAGGTTGTCTTGTTTTTAATTTGATTTATGACAGATCTCTCAAGAGTCAGGTCTCCAGGGGCGCCTGGGTGGCTCAGTCGTTAGGCGTCTGCCTTCGGCTCAGGTCATGGTCCCAGGGTCCTGGGATCGAGCCCCGCATCGGGCTCCCTGCTCGGCGGAAGCCTGCTTCTCCCTCTCCCGCTCCCCCTGTTTGTGTTCCCTCTCTCGCTGTGTATCTGTCAAATAAATAAATAAAATCTTTAAAAAAAAAAAAGAGGTCTCTGTTTTTCACCACTGAGAGTATGTGTCGGGTTGGGGAGGGGTCTCTGGGTTTGTGCTGGTTTTCGCTTTTGAATGGCATGCACCCCGTTTTTTAAACACATCCCTCTCACAGACAAAACAATAACTTAGTTTCATCCGTTTCAAGATGAAAAGCGCAGAGCCGCCCGACATGGCTTGGAGCAGTTATTAACCAAATGATTATTGCCTTGTAATGTGGCGTCTCCGACGGGCCACAGAGAATGTCCTAGTGGCGTAAATCGCAGTACGGAATGGACTGTCAGATTGCCAGAAGAGCAAGAGGATTCTGGGCTTGGCTCAGGGCAGACAGTTTATTCTTCCTTGGAGGACAGTTTTCTTTTATTCACACATGGAAAGTTAAAAGGTTTCCCTCACAGCTGCTCATGGAACAGTAGCTCCAAACAAGGGATGTGTTGAGAGGACCCGGCCTAGTGTGCTCAGTGAAGGCAGCTCCTACGGTTCCTGGCCTTTTCTTCCTTTGTCCAGGGAATCAGTGCATTGTCTGCTAGGTCTTGGTCTCACGTGTGGTGCCAAATGCCACAACGCTATTCCATTTGGTATCGCCGATAGCGCTTCCCACAGTGCAGGGCTACCAATTTTATTTCACAAAAGGTAGAGGTATTTATTTTTCCTGATTTGTCTGCCTGCTTGATGAACTGCCTTTCTGCGGTACCCCAGCCTGATGGGAACCGGGGACGGCAGAGTAAGATGGAACCCACCTCCTGACAAGGATCGAGGGGAGTTAGCAAGTCCCAGTGCTGCAGAACACACAGCACGGCCAGTTGAGAAGCAAATACCCATCCAGAACTGGGAGTCCTATGTTTAGGTCTGCTCCAGTTCTTAAGACCCTGTCCAGAAAGACTGGGGCCCGGGACAGACACCGCAACCGCGATCCAAGTTAGAAGTCGCCAAGCTCTCAATTGGGTTTCCTTTGGAATTGTCTTTGGGGACGTGTAAACGTAAGTGTAACCCCTTTTTAAAAGCCGCGATGGAGAATACTAACAGAGAAGTACATTGTGTGGCCAGGTGTGGGTGGAGGAAGGCTTTGTCATAAGAAAAGCTATAATCCTCAATAGAGTTTGGCTGAAAACTGAAAACGTTGCTTGGGACAGACTGGTCGGTTCCTTCAGTGCCTTCCCATTCATTATTTTTCCCTCTCACCGCCAGGCACGTTGTTTCCATTTTCATCTCTTTTCCCTTTTAACTCAAGGAATGCAGTTATGAACTTCCATTCTGTGAGAAGGACTCTATCTATCTGTCAGGCCTTCAGACAGGAAATAATTGGATGTTTTGCCACAGGCAATAGGACAGGCAGCATTGGACTTCAGGCCTCCCTGCTGGCCTCACGCTGTCTCCTGCTATTCTGATGGTTGTGCCGTGATGAACCTAACAGAGGAGCTGCTGATGCTGCATTGAGATGGAGAGGGTATAGCCTACCCCATCCGGGGCCTAGTTACATTTTTGCAGTACTTCAGGAAGAATGCGAGAGAGATTGGTGCCTGGGGGGGGTAAAGGTGATTAAAGGAGTGTGTGTGTTTACATCTTTGAACTTCTCTCAGGAATATTTACATTCCTATCATGACTTTGGGAGGATACAACCAAATTAGAGTTTTACTCTATGTGTTTTTTGGGGGTAGGAAATTATATGTATTGCGTGACAACTTAGCGAGATGACATACACTCTTATCTCTTTGTGTAAGATATATGCAGTGTTGCAACCTTTCCTTTCAACTGTTCCATAAAAATCTAAAAAAAAAAAAAATTCCAATTATTCAGCCATGAGAAAGAAGGACATCCTGCCATTTACAACAACAGGAATGGACCTTGAGGGCATTATGCTAAGTGAGATAAGTCAGACAGAGAAAGATAAGTACTGTATGATATCACTTATATGTGGAATCTAAAACAGCCAAGCTCATAAAAACAGAGAGTAAAAGGGCGCGGTTACCAGGGGACGGGGTGGGGTGCAGTGGCTAGGTCGATGTTATTTAAGGGTACAAGCTTGCAATGAGTAGTAAATATGCACTAATCTAATTCACAGTATAGTGAATATAGACAACAATATTGAAGTTGACCCTTGAGCAATGCAGGTTTGAATTATGCAGGCTACTTACACATGAATTGTTTTTACAATACAGTACCGTAAATGTGTTTTCTCTACCCTATGATTTTCTTAAATACTTTCTTTTCTCTAGCTTACTTTATTATAAGAATACAGTATATAATACATATAACGTACAAAATATGTGTTAATTGACTGCTTCTGTTACCGGTAAGGCTTCTGGTCAACAGCAGGCTATTAGTTGTTAAGTTTTTGGAGAGTCAAGAGGGGCACCTGGGTGGCTCAGTTGGTTGAGCGTCTGACTCTTGATTTCAGCTCAGGTCATGATCTCGAGGTCCTGGGACTCCCCCCACCCCGCTCCCCCACCCCGCAATCAGGCTCCATCCTCAGTGGGGAGTCAGCTTCTCTCTCTCCGTCTCTCTTCCTCTGCCCCTCCCCCCACCCCCCTGCATGGGCCTGTGCTCTCTCTGAAATAAATAAATAAAATCTTAAAAAAAAAAAAGATTTTGGAGAGTCAGAAGTTATCTGTGGATTTTCAGCTACATGGGGGTTGGCACCCCTAGCCACCACATTGCTCAAGGGTCAACTATATAATCACCAAACTTACTAAGAGACTAGAACCTAATTATTCCTACCATGAAAAGAAATAATTATGTAACATGATGGAGGTGCTAATTACAATGACAATCATATTAAAGTATATCAATGTATCAAATGAATATATAGTACACCTTAAATTTACAGTGTTATATATCAAATATATTTGACCTAAAAAAATCCAAACAGATTCTCACTGATCAAAAGTTTAGACTTGCTTACTCTACTGTTTTTGTTAGGACTCATTGGAATGCTATAGAAACTGAAGGAGAAATTAGTATCTTTAGCACCGTTTGGAGAGGAGTATATACATTATTATTTCCTCTTGGAAAAGATAAATGTGGTTAGAAAAATATTCTGATTTACCAATAGCAACAAGTTACTAGTTATTTCATTTTTGTTCTTAGATTTGCAAAGCAAGTGTCTTCACTTATCTGTGCAGAGAACAAAGGAATGTCAAGCATACGCAAAACAAATTAAGTTGCAAAAGTCAAGTATAGTAACCTGACTCACTTTAATTTTGAAAAAATGCTTATCATTCTACTTTACTGTGCAAAAATGGGTTTAGTATAAACTGCTTCTCTACCATGCTGTGATCACTGTCAAAGTTCATAAATATCCATATATTTATTACACTAATGATTTTCTTTCCTTTCTTGTTTTTCCACATTTCTCTTCCTGACTTCTTCATGATATTTTAAAATGCCAGGATTAAATCTTTCATGCATCTTTATAATCAGGTTTGGCTTTTCAAAACTGTTGCAAATAGAAGAACATTTAACTTCATCTCAGTTCTAACAGTATTTGGAAGGCCACTACATACCAAGTATTGTATGAGCTGCCGGGGATAAAGTGATGGATAGAAAAGTTTCTAACCCCATGGAACATAGTCTAAAAGGAAAACAGACATTATTTATTTGTTTCTTTTAATGTATTCATTCATTTATTTATTTAACTACTTACTACTAACTACTAAGTACTTCTACAGTTCTCATTATATGCTAGGTACTATTCTAAGCAGTTTGCTAGCATTTCATGTAAGTAATTATATATGATGAGTATCTCTAAAGAGGTAAGTCATCGTTTTTAATTTGGATTTCACCATAATTTAATAATAGGGAACAACAGAGATTTGAGGCATGAAGGTAAACACACAACATTTCTCTTTTGTTCAATTACATCTTCCAAATGTGAGACCGGGACAGGACAAAAGAGAAATCCGGTCCCGTATAGCAGGAGAGGAGTGCTTAGTTGGGTTCATGATCCTCTCCCAGAACTTTTTCTTTCCTTCCACCTTCCTTAACCTGTTGTTGACACTGTTGACTGTTGCCTGATGTTGCTGTTGACTCTTTCCATACTGGTGTATTTGGGGAGAAGTTAATGAAGAATACCTGTCTTCGAACTTTGCTTGCTAAGCCCTATTTTCTTAGAATTTTTCAAGGTGACAATTTACAAAGTAAACTTTAACCTGAGTAGTCTGAGGAATGTCTGTTTTTCATTTTTAGTTCCAAATCTAATTTTGTTCTTTGAAAGTTCATGGATATTGCTTTTCAAGTAACCTATTCTAGAAATGATGTATTATACTTTTTTTTTTTTTTTAAGATTTTATTTATTTACCTGAGACAGAGAGAATGAGAGAGAGAGAGCACATGAGATGGGGGAGGGTCAGAGGCAGAAGCAGGCTCCCTGCCGAGCAGGGAGCCCGATGCGGGACTCGATCCAGGGACTCCAGGATCATGACCTGAGCCGAAGGCAGTCGCTTAACCAACTGAGCCACCCAGGCGCCCTGATGTATTATACTCTTAATTGCATAATTTATACTACAGTATTTCAAAAGCCTTTAGAAATTCTTCTGCTTTTTTATAAAGTTCATTTTGAAAATCAAAATAAATTATATGGGTTAACCAGAAGGCACTGTAAGAGAAAGATAAATGTGTAAACTGCATGAGAATAAGATTGTTACCATGCATTGGACAGTCTTTTAATTCTAGAAACCTCCTTGAAAAAGGAAAATTTGTGAGTTTCTTCTAGGAAATTTAGGAGGCCCCTAGAATATCACCTTTGTGATAACATTTTCTTGACTACCTAATGTATCTGACCTTTGTTAGTCGTCTTTTATAAAAATTGAAACTTGTCTCGGGTTGTTCACAATTAATTAATTCCAGCCTATTGCTTATCTAGAGTTAGCCACCCCCACCCCCCCACCCTTGGCTTGTCGGTATCATCAAGTCCACATTTAGGCACTAATTATCCGGTCCCGTATAGCAGTTCCGGTAATAAGCAAAGTTTCAGTTGGGTAACAATTGCAATCTTGTATATGTGTTGTCTGCTAAATTGGACCGTTAAGGAAAAAAAACACCGTATTAGCAATTCTTTGTGCTGGTCTAAATTTTGAATGTGCCCAAAGTATGCTTTGTTTTTAGGACCATATTGTGGAAGTATGCCTGTTCCCAAGGAACTCCTATTGACCACGAACGAGGTCACTGTGCGCTTTGCGAGTGGATCCCACATTTCGGGGCGGGGATTTTTGCTGACCTATGCGAGCAGTGACCATCCAGGTATAGCAGAAGAATCCACCCAAATCTGTAAACTTGTGTCTGTCTGAGAATTCCTCTTGCTACTTGTATCACCATCTTTGGATAGAATTGTGACCTCAGGTCGAGAATATGTGAAGGAAGAGAGGAATGCAAAGTCTTTGTAAGCAGTTAGATCTGAACTCAGAATACTTTTATCGAGCATGTTAGATTGATCAGCTGACCTATGTGGGAGAGGGTTGATCTCATTTTCCTAGAAATGTTGGATGATGCATCTTTGGGGCTATTTTAAGGTCTGGTTAGTCCCTGGAGCCCTCCCCCAACCTTTTTCACCTTAGGGGACAAGTAACCAGTGGCACCTCCACCCTCCACCCCCACGTCCACTCACATACACCAGGTGCACCAGCACGAGGGAAGCCTGGGAGTCTGAGTCACATGTGAAGTCACTGTCACCGTGTGCTTAACCCTGGAGCTGACACTTGAGCAGGAGAGAAGGGGAGTATAGAAACTGATGAGGGAGGAAAGCACGGCCTCCTGTCTAGGCCTCTTGGGCTCCAGAGTGATTACTGTACATGCACTCCATGTCTGCCCAAGGTCACAGAAGTGCCCAGAGTTTCTGCTCTCAGTGCCCCCTGGCAGAAATGCTCCAGGAGGGGGGTGCGCCATTCATTTCCCTCTCATCCAATCAAATCTAGCCAATCCCAACAGACCACAGCAGGACCAGTGTTCACCATATGTTGCTCCCTCAGAACTACTGAAAATATTAAGGAAAGAAAGAATTATTGCAGCAAGTGTGGAATATTTTGGAAACTATCCTAGGCTGATCTAAATGCATTAAAATCCACAACATCTTAGCGTCCCCGATGCTGAGTGTTCATTCAGTTCTGTATTCCAAAGAGCATTCTCTTTTTTAAGTCCTTGGTCCTGACTGATCAAAGTGGAAAGGTTGTATTCTCAGTAAGCACGTGGTTCCATGGGCACTCAGATGCCGCTAGCTAAATTGCCAAATTAAAATGTTCCCGAACCTTCTCTATGAACCACGTCAGGCTTTTGAAATTGTTTTCCTCTTGCCAAGGGAGGTTATTATACACATGATCTTTGTAGGCATGTAGTGGACAGTAATGAACCAGTGTTGGTTTTTCTGTTTGAAATAGTTCCTGTTAGTGTTCACTGGACAATTGCTGAAAAACCATGGTTTGTGGTAGAAAAGAGAAATGGAGGAAATTGGTTAAATCCTGAAGACAGTGTTCTCAGTTTTGATTTATTTTTAAGGAGAAAAATTCAGATAATAACTAGATAGTGAATAAATGCTTTTTAAAAATCCTTTTGTAGGGGCACTGGGTGGCCTAGTCAGTTAAGCGTATGCCCTCTGCTCAGATCATGATCTCAGGGTCCTGAGATGGAGCCCCGCATCGGGTTCCCTATTCAGCGGGGAGTCTGCCTCTCCCTCCCCCTCTCCCCCCGGCTTGTCTCTCTTGCTCACTGTCTCTCTCTCAAATAAATAAAATCTTTAAAAAAATTTTTAAAAGTCCTTATTTAAAATTATTTAAAATTATTATTGTTATTTTTTTTTTTAGCATGAGTATCCTTCCATTCGGTCTCCTAATTGCAATTATCTTTATTTATGACAGATTTAATAACGTGCTTGGAACGCGCTAACCATTATTTGAAAACAGAATACAGGTAAATACGGTGTCCAAGCTGTGCTGCAGGCATAAGTTGCTGGACATTATGCTTTCTTTCACATTAAACCAGATAAAGTACCTTATTTGTATTTAAAATCATTTATGTTGTAAGTAATGAAGAATACTTGAAATGCTTTCTTATATAGCAGAGATCAGCAAACTTTTTGTCCAGGGCCAGATAGTAAATATTTTCGATTTTGCAGGCAATGCAGTCCCTTTGGCATCTGTTCATAGTTTCTGTTGGCTGCTGTGATGCAGAAGCAATCCATGGACAATATGTAAACAAACGTGTGTGGCAGTGTTCCAATAAAACTTTATTTAAAAACCAAACAGCAGCCTGGATTTGGCCCATGAGCTACAATGTGCTGACCCCTGAGTTCTACTGTCGTACCAGTGAGCCGTAGTGGAGTCTAGACTGTGTTTTTTCACCTGGCCAGCATTTTGAAGTGACTTTTGTAATTCCTTCACTTTCAGAGGGAGTTCATTTTGTCTTTCTCACAAAAGAGAAACTTTCTGAGAATAGGAGATGAAATTTTTGATTCCAGCTTTACTTCAACTGGAAAAATTACTGAATCTCTTTGATGTACATTTCCTCATTTATAAAGTAAGAGCAGTCTAGAGCAGGACTTCTCAACCTTGGCACTATTGTTATTTTGGGTTAGATGATTCTTTGTTGTGAAGAGCTGTTCTGTACATTGTTAGATACTTACCGGTGTCCCTGTCCTCTACCCTCTGTGTGCCAGTTGTGATAACCAAAAATATCTCCAGATGTTGCCAGATGTCTTCCAGAGCAGGCAAAATTCACTCCCTGTTGAGAACCACTGGTCTAGAGAGAACTGTCAGTAACACCGCTAACAACAGCTATAACTCCTTAGAGTGCTTTCTTCTTGCCAGTCATAGCTCCCTGGACTTTGCACATAAATAAGTCATGTGAATGTTCTAGCAGGCCTGCAAGGTAGGCTCTGTCATACCCTGAAAACAGAGGCACAAAGCAGTTAAGTAGCTTGCCCAGGACTACACACTTCATGAGTATGCCCAGACAGTCAGGCACAAGGGTCCATGGTCGTGACCATCTCGGATATTCTAATAAATGAGATTATTTTACATGCCGAATTGATTTTAGTGTTAACTAATATTAAGTCTAGTAGGGAAATAAAAAAGAAAATGACCAATAATTTGAATAGACAATAAAAATTAAAATGACCAATAATTACATTTGCCCTGTAAAGTTGCCATTCATGCATCATGGACAAATGCCAACCTTCTCTGAGATCTTTCCAGCCATACCTGTAGAGTCCCAGTGGTGATAGGGCCTCTGGGCATCAGCGGTCATTTCCTGTCCTCCTACAGAAAAGATTATACTCAGGCCTGCAGGGTGATGTTACAGTGCCAGATCATCTAGGCTACAGCCCAGCCGTGAGTGTTTGGGTAAGATGAGGTGTGGTGACTGGTACAGATCCACATTCCCTCATCTATGATTGTGAAATGTCGAAAGCTTTAAAAGTCAAAGGGTTTTGGGGCGCCTGGGTGGTGCAGTCGGTTAAGCATCCGACTCTTGGTTTCGGTTCAGGTCATCATCTCCGGGCTGTGAGATCAAGCTCGGCCCGGTTTTATGCTCAGCGTGGAGTCGGCTTGAGATTCTCCCTCTCCTCTGTCCTTCCCGCTCATGTTCTCTCTCTCTCTCTCTCAAATAAATAAATAAATCTTAAAAAAAAAAAAGAGCCAGAAGGCTTTTATGACTCATTTGCTGGCAATACCTGATTAGTGTAAACTTAAATTCATTTGACAGTAAAATTGAACTAAATTGAGTCTATTTAGTCTTTGTGCATTGGCCTTAGATATTAATGTTTTTGATTAATATATGCAGCCATCAGATGAATAAGGTCTGAGAATCTAATGTGTACCATGACTATAGCGGATAACACTGTATTATAGAACTGAAATTTGCTGAGAGTAGAATTTAATGTTTTTGCCAGAGATATATGTGTTATATATGTGTGTGTATTTAAATATATACATTTACATATTAATATATGTGAGGCGATGGATATGTTAATTTACTAGTTGGGTAACATATACCAAATCATCGTGATATACATTTGAAATGTCTTACAATTTGTCAATTATACCACAGTAAAGCTGAAAAATATATATACCTTTTTTTTTCTGATTGCAAAAGTAATTTATAACTAAAGTAGACCATCACTAGCCATGTGTGGCTATTAAAGACTTGAACTGTGACTAGTCCAAGTTCAGGTGTGCTATGAGTATAAAATAAACTGCAGATTTTGAAGACTTGGTACAAAAGAAAAAAGACTAGAAATATCTTGTTGACAATTTTTTTTTGTTCATTACATGTAGAAATGATAAAATTTGAGTATGTTGGGTTAACTAGAATATATTATTGTTAGTTTTGCCTTTTTTTCTTTACCTTTTTAATATGGCTACTAGAATATTTAAATTTACATATGTGGTTTCCATTAAGTTACTATTGGGGAGTGAGTGCTAGTAGGCTGAATCAAGATATTACAGAGTCAAATGGCACAGAAAGTGGAAGTTTCTCAAAATGCTATTCTTGGAGAGAATCCAGAGATAGTCTTCCTTGTCTTCTTTATATTCATGAAAAACATAAGTTGTTATTTTATATATTTTAAGCGTATCTTTTTATAAAAACAAGATCATGCTAGGTATAGTGTTTAGAAATTTTCTTTTTAAAAAATATATCTCGGAGGGGCACCTGGCTGCTCAGTTGAAAGGGCATGCAGCTCTTGATCTCCAGGTTGTGAGTTCAAGCCCCACGTTGGGTGTAGAGATTACTAAAAATAAATAAATAAATAAATAAATAAATAAACAAACTTTAAAAAAGTAAGTAAAATAAATAAAAATAAAAAATATATCTTGGACACCTCTGAATCAATTAAGATGCATTAGGGAAGCTCATTGTTTAAGAGAGTTTATAATGAATCCTTATATAAAGCAAATAATTATTGTGTAAAACTTGCCTTCAGGTTTACATTTTAGATTAATCTGTGTTTTCGTAAGTCAGGTTTCTGATTTGTCATTAAAACAAATTATGCCTGGGGTGCCTGGGTGGCTCAGTCAGTTAAGCGGCTGACACTTGATTTCGGCTCAGGTCATGATCTCAGGGTCCTGGGATCAAGCCCACATCAGGCTCTGCGCTCAGTGGGGAGTCTGCTTGAGAATTCTCTCTCTCTCTCTCTCAAATAAATAAATCAATCTTTCTAAAAAATTTAAAAAATAAATAAAACAACATACTCCCTCCTGCATGTTCTATGGAGGAGAGAAAATGCATTTAAGTATAATTTATACTTTTTAGTTTAAGTGTAATTTAATAAAATATCAATTCTTTATTTTCTTTTTCCAGCAAATTCTGCCCAGCTGGTTGTCGAGACATAGCAGGAGACATTTCTGGGAATCTGGTGGATGGATACAGAGATGTAAGTAATTGAGGGTAATTTTAGGGCAGGGAGGAAATTAAAAAGTGTTTGTTGCTCTGCCTAAACTCATCATAAAGTCAAGTCAAATAAGATCTAAAACCCCGGAGGTAAATGCACAATTCTCTCTTTTCTGAGAATAAATGAAATAATAAGTATAAAAACCAAGGTTATTCGTGCATGCATTCCTATTTTTAGCATTTCCACTTAAGCATGGTGTAAGTGAAATGGTAAATAAAACCCTTTTCAACACCTACGGATATAATTCCATTTGTTTTTTTATAAGAGGTCATCTGTTTTTTGGTTTTTCTTTTTTTTTTTTGTAATTTATTTCTGTATTTTAATGCTTCTGTTGGTTCATGTAATAGCCAAGGACATGACCATTCACATCAGAGAGTAACAACACCGTGTCTGGGACCAGGGAAGCCAGCTGCCCTGCACTTACGTAACAGTTCTTCCTGCCTTGCACCCCCAGTTTCTTCTGCAGAATGAGACTCTCTGGTTGTATACATTGTTCCCAGAGAAAAATACATCACAAGAAGTCATTTGTCTAAAGTATATGTCCTGTCTCCAGATACACAGTCCTTCATTTCTTACTATTTGCAGATCTCAATCCCAGAAATTTGGTATCTGATCTTTGAATATTAACATTGCTACTTAAAATAGTTGAGTTTCTAGCACATGAGAATTGGCTTGAGTTATTACAAATGTGAAAATCTGTATAGTGATGAAACTTTTCTAAGAGTTATTGACATGTGTCTTTGTGCATCCAAGAAAACAAACATGTTCCAGGAGACTGATAATCTCCCCTCCAGCAAGGGGAAAACAAACTTGGCTTTAATTTTTGCTTTTAATACATCCTGATTGTGGAAGCAGCATATTTTGCAATTTTGCTCTTTGTTTCCTTTTTCATGTATTGTCTTTATTTACAAGATTGACACAGGATATTCATTTGGCCTATAAATTGTTTGAATCTTAAAATGATTTATAATACCTGAATTTGAGATATACTTGGCACAAGCTATTTCTAAGTGACTTCAAGAAATTAACTAAGGGAAATAAACAGTTGAAGTATAGTTTTTCCCCCAGCAATAGAAAGTCTCTTTGTTATTTTTCCATCCCACGCAAGGAACTTAAAAATTATATGTAATAAGAGAGATAGCATCATTTTTTTTCTTACTTTAGTTGTTTATCTTGCTTCCTCTTGACAGAGCTCTGTGTTTTAGTACAACAGGTAAATAAATGGCTTCCTCCATGGTAGATCTGAGTACGTGATCTGTAGGTGCTAACACACAGGTTTCCTATTTAACTTTGGCTGGTTTCATATCATTTGCTTTCAGAATGACTTTACCTGGGAGTCTGCTTCTCCCTCTCGCTCTGCTACTCTCTCCCTCTCTCTCCCTGTCAAATAAATAAATACAAAATCTTGAAAAAAAGATAGCGGCCATGTTATTTGCTGATGAGTTTGTGGGTCAGCACTTTGCGCTGGTCAGTTCTTAATCTCCCTTGCCTAAAAGAGCTCCTGCAGTCATGTGGTGCATCAGGTGGGGCCAGAGGGTCGGAGGTGGCCACGATGACATGTGTGGCCGTTGGTTGGGCCGTGTCATCTGCAGCAGAACCGAGCAAGTTACGTGTTCCAGTGCAGTCAGTGGGAGGTACCTACACAGGGGCATGACCGTCGGGAGGCATTATCACTGGGGGGCCGCCACGACTGTAAGTTACCTACTTCCCTCTCTAGCGGATGGGTGCCCAAGTTGGCGTAAATGTGGTGACTCTGAAGTCATTTTGAGATAGTTATACAATAATTTTTTTCCCCTCCTCTAAAACTTTCTATTTAAATGAATTATGGCGTAGCAATGTCATGGGTCAAACAGGGATCCTGACCACATGTTATAACAAGATGGAAACCTCCCACCCTATTTTAAATGTGTTCTGGAGTAACCGTGAGTGATGACGTTGCTGTATTTCAGACCTCGTTACTGTGCAAAGCCGCCATCCATGCAGGAATAATCGCAGACGAGTTGGGCGGTCAGATCAGCGTGCTTCAGCACAAAGGGCTAAGCCACTATGAAGGCATCCTGGCCAATGGTGTGCTCTCAAGAGAGTAAGTACTTTGTCTTTTGTTCTGAGTGGCAGGTAACCCGAAAGGCATAATTTACCAGCTCATAATTTTGAAGGGACAGTGGGCATAGGATCCCAAGGGTTTGTCAGCTGGGAGGAATGTGTGTGAGTGCTCAAAGCAGCATTTACGGTGTCTTTGTGGAAGATCAGTGCAGCAATAAAGAAGCTCACTGGTTATGCTGACAAGTGAATTAAAAGGGCACACATCAGAAGTTCTAGGGCAAAGGAATGTTTCTACTCTCAGGTGCTTTAGTAGGAGAAAATAAAGGCTGTCTGTTTTCAGTTCTTCCGGTTTTAGTAAATAATTGGTTATCTGCAATATTACCAAAGGTACTGAAGAAGACAGGGAACTAAAATAAGCCTCCATAGAACTACCAAGCTCCCCGGGAGATCCCTAGAGACAAGCTCTTAATGATGAGTAATAGTTGGGAAATGAAAAAAAAAAGAGGGCTTTTGTTAACATATATCTCTCTGTTTGCTGGTATCCTCTGCTCTTTCAGCTTCTTGAGAAAAAAGTATGTCAATTGTTCAATTGTTTTAAACATTTCAACCTGAGCTTTTAATGCTTTTAGGTTTCCTCAGCTTCTGGAGTGGAAAATAAGAGCTGTTAGAACTAAATATAATCTCGCCTCATGGTCCAGGTGTCCACCCATAGAAACAGGCAGCTTGGAATGGGCCAGAGGGAGGCTTTCCTTGGGTGGAGGCCTTGTGAGAGAACGGTGATCCTCAAGCCACTGTGTTTATCTCCTGCTCCCTCCCTGCCTGCCCCAGAAATGTCTTCCTGCTTTCGTGACCCTGTGTTTTTTGGACAGGTTGTCACCATAGTCTTGGTCCCCAGAATATGGCACAAGACAGAGACTACAGGCATTTCAATTTCAGGATCCAAAAGTAGGAAAAAGGAGGTCAGGGCCTGTATCCTCTACCACTTCCCTGTCTGTGTGCAGATCACCAACCACCCCCGCTCCAGCACGCTCCCCCGCCATTTTGCTGTGGTCCCTGCTTATGTGCAGAAAGAACACGGTCATGTTTCCCTGCTCTGTTCTCCCAGGCAGTGTGGACCATCTCATCTGGTGAAAAAAAAACCACATAAGGGGGTTGATAGGTTCCCTAGTTAGCATAAATGTAGTGACTCTGATGTCATTTTGAGAAAGTTATACAGTAGTTTTTTTCCTTCCCCTTCTACTTTTTATCTAAATGTATTACAGCTTTGTTTAGCGATACTGTAGTTCAAATGGGGATTCTGACTCCAAGTTATAATATTGTTTTTTAGGAAAATGTATCTTAAGTTCCAAAGAACCGATTGATGAATTCATAGGTAAACTTAGGGACCAATACCCATTTCTGGATTGAGGTGTTGGCTTAAGCTCACAGGAGAGGGGATTTCAAAGCAGTGGCTGAAGTTAGGGGTAGAAACTGGTTAGGTCACCTTCATGAAGAAGGCAAGCCTTGGGTTTGGTGGAAGGCAGGAACCAGGCATATGGGGACATGGGAGCAGAGTCAAGGCTCAGAGAGGGACACGAAAGGAGTCGTGGCAGTCAGCACACCAGGCTCACGTCCAGGGCCCTGGCTGGTGGGTGGCTGAGGGAAAAGGCAGAGCTCCCACCGGCAATTCTGAGTCGGGGGCTGCGGGTGGGGTAACTGGAGAGGGTATTCCAGTCCAAGTCTTTTACAAGCCACCCAGTGATGCTGTATGTAATCTACAGAAGGCAGTCATCCACTAAGGATTGGGTGCAGGCTGCACTCTGATGGGCAGGCTCACCGCTCTGTCTTTGTGTTCTCTGCTTGCTATAGAGAGGACTCCCCTCTACTGTCCCCCTGGATAGGACTTTTAGCTTTGAGAGGCCCCAAAGTGTTCTTTTCCTATTGTGTGACCAAAGACAAATCGGTCCCAAATTTAAGATCTAAATGCCTAGTAGCAGAGTACCTTTAGAAAGTAAAATCCTTACTCAAATAAATAAAATTTATATATTTGTGTATTATAAATTCATTTTATATACACATGCATGTATGTTATACATACATGTATGCATGTACATATATGTACTATATATAAAGAAACATATGCATGCATTATATATGCCTATATACACACATATGTATGTACATATATTTTTTCACTTATGTATTTGCCTCAAGGTTTGTGGAACATAAATATTATATCCTGATTTATAATAAAAGTGATTGCTTATACACAGTAAGCTGTGTCGGCTTGACCTTGACTTTTGAGGATCTGTTTCTGTTTACATTTTTTATGGTCTAATATATTGACACCAGGGCACTATTTCAGAAAGATGCCATGCTGTGGCCTAGATTTGTTGGGAGCCACATCTCCAGATAGGAACAAAGAATTGGCCTCTGGTTTTAAATCTGTTTTTTGGAATCTCTTGCCTATGTTTGTATACATTTCAGTGCTTCTTTTGTAGAAAAAAAGGACCGTAAAACGTTGAACTTGTACTATGAGGATTTTATTTTACTTTTGAAAAAAAAATTATTTAAACTACTTGAAGAGAAGTAGACATGTTCTCAGTTACTTCTGGGCTTGATACAGATGAAGTCTCTTTATGTAAGCCAATATTAAACGTTCATGCAGAGTCCAGAAATCTCAACCATGAATGAATCAGGAAGAGTTTTGCTCCACATTCCATGTAGTTATTTGAACAAACTGTTCGATTTTTGTTTTGGTAAGAAGAGAAAGTCCAGGTTTATATCAAGGTCCCTTCTTCCTTCTAGCTCTGATTTTGCTCTGGCTTTTTGTCCTGAGCAGAGAAGAGTGAACTACATGCGGACACATGTCTTCCACTCCTCCTGACTCCCAAGTCTTCAGGGGGCAGTTGTTTTTCTCTGTGCCCGTGTGCTGCTGGGGAAGCAGTGTGCATGCGGTCATTGAACTTGTGTTCCCACGCATGATTGTTTGGTGTTCAGGAAAAAGCTCTGCCACTGAGGAAGAAGGAGTCCCTAAAGTAAATATCTAGGGTTCTTCTGGGATTCATACGGGTCGGGTCACTTCCTTGATTTGAGGAGACCAGAATGGAATCAGGAAGAGAGGCTGACCTCAGACCAAGGGTGAAGGCTCACACCACCAGCAGCGAAGGCTTTGCTTTTTCAGTTGACATCAGCCTCTTCTTGATGGCTTCTCGAGCCCCCGGGGAAGGCTGGCAATTCCAGGCATCTGATTGAATGCATTCACCCTGACGTGTGACTGCCTCAGAACCCCAGCCTCCTGGAGGGTTTTCGTTTTTAGGAGAGGAGGCTCATTTACCAATAGAATTCTCCAAGTGGTTGTATTTAGTTTAATAGAGTGCAATGGAAAAATGTATCGCAGCTGATCACGGGCGAAGAGCCAGGCAGAGAGCCATTGGGAGGAGAGCCTCCCCTGGCGGTGTCTTCCCAGGGTTAACGCCACAGTTACCCTTCTTGCCCTAACTTCTCTTTTTCAACAACAACAAAATAAATATTTTAGTGTCTCATGGCAGCGGGAGCGAATTGAGGCCCTCCGAGTTGCCACGATATCAGGTGCTTTATTTGGGCAAAATTTCAAGTGTAATACTTAGTGCAGGAATGTTAGGAAAAAAATGGAAAAAGCAGTCAAATAGAGGCTCTAAGTAAATTAATAGAACTTGGAATGTGAACCACGTGCACCTTTCTTTAGAAGTTAGGAGAGCTGGATCTTGACCCCGGCTTTGGCACGAACTGTGAATTTCGGCAAGCGGGTCCGCATCTTCATGTGAGAAATGATGGGTGCCTGCCTTGTATTCAGTGCAGCGGGTATAACAGAACCTTTATGTGGAATGGCAGGGCTGTGGAGTCTCCGCTCAAGAGTGGACAAAGAATATGAATGAAAAGGTCCATTCCAGGGACTTGGACCACCTGGTACTTCTAAGCAATGGTCCCAGAGCTTTGCTGGGAAGGTTCTTAGACTCTTGTCCAGACTCTTGTCCAGACTCTTTCCGGGTTTTCTGTGGATTTCACCATTCAGTACTCTCTCTGTCCATGGTTGCTGGTTGTAATTCAGAGTTAAACATTTAAGTAACAAGCAGTCCTCTCAGATTGTAAAGTAATTGCACACAACAGTGGCATCTAACTCTTCGTGCGTTTCTCGAGTATCAGTATACTGAGTACTATGCATGCAAGATTCATCTTGAGAACTTCAAATTTTCTACCTAGTTTCACACTGTTGAGTTGGTGAGGGACTTACAAAAAGGTAAATACAGTCTTGGGCCTTCGGGATCTCTTCTCCACGGAAGGAGACAGCTGCAGAGTGAGGTCGATATGATGTTTGCCTCTGGGTGCACCACAAACTGTAGAAATCCTAGAGTCCACAGGCCCCGGGGTTAATGCCAGCTCAGCAGTAGGACTGTCCCGCAGCGGCGAGGCCCAGCTCAGGCCGGTCAGTGAGATGCTTTGAGTTTTCTCCCGCTGCACCTTGTCATCCAGAGGGAGGGTGGTTCACGGCTGTAGGGAGGAGTGTGACTGGGTGGCGTTAGTAACGTTGCTTCCCTTCAGTGGTCCTGAGTTTCTCTATAAAAGGCCAGTGATGAAGATGGTAAGAGCCTTGCTGGGGTGCGGTGAGGACCCCGTGAGGTGCGGGAAGGTTCCATGACGCCTGGGCTGTGGTGCTGTGTCCATCGTTGTGATCCAGGTAAGCAGCTCACCTCCTGTTTGTGTTTATCATTGCAGCGGTTCCCTGTCCGACAAGCGATTTCTCTTTACCTCCGACGGTAAGGATCCAGCTTTCCTTAAGAATTTGATATTTTAGGGGGCGCCTGGGTGGTTCAGTCGTTAAGCGTCTGCCTTTGGCTCAGGTCATGATCCCAGGGTCCTGGATCGAGCCCCGCATCGGGCTCCCTGCTCCGCGGGAAGCCTGCTTCTCCCTCTCCCACTCCCCCTGCTTGTGTTCCCTCTCTCGCTGTGCCTCTCTGTCGAATAAATAAAAAACATCTTTTAAAAAAAAGAATTTGAGGGCGCCTGGGTGGCTCAGTTGGTTAAGCGACTGCCTTCGGCTCAGGTCATGATCCTGGAGTCCCGGGATCGAGTCCCACATCAGGCTCCCTGCTCAGCAGGGAGTCTGCTTCTCCCTCTGACCCTCCTCCCTCTCATGCTCTCTGTCTCTCATTCTCTCTCTCGCAAATAAATAAAATCTTAAAAAAAAAAAAAAAAGAATTTGATATTTTAACGTCTTCAGTGGTGGTTTATTCTCCCATCCCCCTCCCGCGCTATAGTTTAAGGGTTTTGTTTTCCTCCCCCGCAGGTCACACAGCACCAAGTGCGCTGTAACTTAAAAATACCGAGACAGGAACTCAATTAGCACGAAGTACAGAATAACTTTTTTCTGTAATCGAAGCTCTCGCACACTTTTGCCAAAAAAACGATGAAAATGCAAAATGCCACTTATGTTAAGATAAAATTCCTTTCTGTTAGATTTTAATAGGAAAAGCTTTTAAATATTACAGTTTGATTTGTGGTTATCTTGAATAAAGTGCCTGAACACGAGTGTGTGAAATAAGGGCTTCTTAGCCCCTCCCTCATGGAATATATTCTGTGTAAATATTCTCTCAGCATAAAGTAAAATATTTCCAGACAACAATATGAATATGTCTTCTTTGTCCAGGAGAGGAGTGTGGCCTTTATTTGCCAACCTCCACATTGTCTTGGACATGACAATGATGATGTTGAGTACAATTTACTGATCTTCAGAGCACCCGGATGTCCGTCCTCTTCAAGGACACAGACAATAGAGTCCTCTCTGATCAAGTGAGAAGAACCTTCAGCATTTGAAACACATTTAAGACACGTTGTACTTTGCTGAAATGAGGGTAAATTTAGAAGTCTAGGAAGGAAAATCTACAGTAGGAACAGAGAGACATCATTTATAGGGGATGCGACTTCAGTGAGGTCCATTAAAAAGAAAAGCAGCAGTTGCAAGGGACCACAGTACAAATGAGTCAGATGAAAAGTCTGGGCCATTAAAAAACTAATAAACCGTTGATTTGATATCAGAATGGAAGTAAATCAACTGAATAATTCTAGTTGAAATGGAGTACTTTTTTTTGCTTTCATTTTGTGTTTATATCTGAAATACTTTCTTGGCCTTTTTTTTTTTTAGGTTGCAGCAGATCATTGAGTTTGGAACCTGACACACAGATCAGAGCTTCTTGGCAGTGGGTCAGTGAGATGGGAGAACAAGTTCACTGGTCTCCTGGCCAAGCCCAAGTTCAGGGCCAAGACCTGTCATGGGCTTCGGGGGACAGTGGCAAGAACCGTAAACAGCGCGAGTGGCTGGAGACCGATTTGGGAGAGAAAAAGAAAATAACGGGTACAGTTTCACAAATGCAAAACGACGGGCAGTTGAAATTATGTTTCTGAGCTACATAGGCACCTCTTTCTCTACCTCAAAGTATTCTGTGTCTTTTCTAAAAGTAACAAGGCTTCGCATTGTCTTTTTTTTTTTTAAAGATTTTATTTATTTATTTGAGAGAGAGAGAATGAGAGAGAGCACATGAGATGGGGGAGGGTCAGAGG